TCTCTCAACTCACCGTGTGGTCATCACTTGGCGCTGCCGACGTTCCAGTCGTCCTCCATCCTCCAGACGGAGAAGGCCAGGCTCAGCTTCTCGTGGCCGACGCCGCCGAAGGGCGGCGGTGACAGCGTGGTCCCGGACGCGGCGGCACCGGAGGCGGCTCGGAAGGCGCGCCGGGTGGCGGACGAGGGACCCGGGCTGGAGCCGGAGCGTTCTGCAAAAACAGGAAAACGGTTTGTGAAAACAAGGAAGTCGAGGCCGGGCGAGTGTCTGTCGGGGCCGTGCGTCCTCGCCACGCCGAGCCACCCCCCGGCGGAGGGGTGCGAGCGTGGGAGAGCGAGGAGGGGGGGGGGGAGCCAACTGTTGCTGCAGAGAGGCCCCGGAGCAATGCTGGCCTTTGGGGCGGGTCAGGGCAGGCGGCCTACGGGGTGGGGCCTCTCGTAGCCGTCACCGTCATGATCCTCTAGGGCTTTACACGGAGGCAAAAAGGCACACGGGAGTGCACCCCGGACAGAGGAGAAAGGATGGAGAAGGAGCGTAGCAAGTAAGGGTTTACTTACCGGAGTCTGCGTCGGACTCGGTGTAGTCGGCGAGCGCGGCCACGCCGCCCGCGTGCAGCACCTGGTACAGGAAGTCGATGTACCGGGCGGCCAGCTTGAGGGTCTGGATCTTGGACAGCTTGTCGGACGGATGATCTTGCGGAGGTTGGCAAAGGCGTCGTTGAGGTTCTGGGTGCGCTGGCGCTCGCGGACATTGGCCATGACCCTCTGGCTGTGCACGTCCATCTCGAGCGGCGAGGAGCGGCGCCGCATCTTGCAGGCGGAGCCCGACAGGTCCTCGCCGCTGCTGCACTCGCTCATCTTGCGCTTGCGACCCGCAAGGCCCGGCGGCGACCTGGGCGGCTTGCAGTCCAGCAGGTCGTCGTCGTCCTCATCACTGGCCAGTCGGTCGCATAGGGGGTCGTTGATCAGGCTGGGCAGTGGCTGTTGTTGTTGCTGCTGCTGCTGATGGTGGTGGTGATCGGCGTGGTGGTGATCCGCTTCGTGGTGCTGGTGGTGGCTCTGCAGGGGCAGGCTGCTGTCGGTGGTGCTGGAGATGAGGTTGGCGTCGTGCTCTGGGAGGTGCTCGGGCAGGTGCTCGGGGCTGGCATTCAGCGGGAAGGTCGGGTGGTACGTGAGCGGCTCCTGCTTGACCTCGGGGTGCTGCAGTGGATCCTGGTGCGGGTGGTGGTGGTGGTGGTGATGATGGAAGTCGTTGGGCATGGGGTGGTAGTAGCTGGACGCCGAGTACTGACTGAGGTCGGTGAGCTGCTGGCCTCCGCCGTTGCTGCTGGTCGGGCTGGTCGGAGGTGACAGCGGGGCGCCCATGGCGTCAAAGGCCCCCGTCGAGGTGCTGAAGAGCGGCAGGCCGTGCAGGCGGTCCTCGAGCGAGTGCGTGGGCAGGGTGGTGCCGGCGTACATGGTGCCCATGGCGCCCATAGCGCCCATGGCGCCCATGCCGGCGCCCATGGCGCCCATGCCGAGGCTGTGGCCCATGGCCGGGAGGTAGCTGAGCGACATGTCACTCACACAACAATCACAACGCGCGCACGGAGAGGAGAGGTGTGGCTCCTGCTGCTGCACGTCAAAGACTGACTGAAGTGACTGCGCCTGGCGGGGCGGGGGCCCCGGGCCGCCGCCGGGCCCTTGCCGCCGGCTCCTCCTGCAGGCTGCCAGCCCTGCCGGGCCCGCCGGGCCCCAGCCCGTGGGCCCAGGGGGCACCCCAGGCTGCCGGACAGACCGCGCAGGCAGGAGGCGGAACGCCTACCGCCCCCTCCCTTCGGCTGCCTCGCGGTGGACCCGCCCGCCGGCCGGGCGCTTGGACGGAAGCGCCGCGCCCGCGAGGCGCGAACCTCCCCTCGACACCTCGCGATTAGCTGTATCACGCACGCCGTCATGCCCTGCATTGTGCCCGTCACGTTGGCGGGCCGCAGCGTGTGGACCACATATAATGCCCTCTGTGTCTGGCATTGTCAGCTCCGTCGCACCGGCTGTCGGGCCGCGCGCGACCGCGACCCGACCTCTGCCCGGAGCAGGACCATGTGCGCGGCCCGGCCGGACGACATACAGTGTCCTGCATTGTGCTCATTATTCCTCACATGTGTGGGTAACGGTGCAGCGCTGCTGTCCCCAGAACTGTCATGTGCCTTCAGCTGAGGTACCCGGCCGCCGCCAGGCCGCCGCCGTGAGGGTGGTGGTGGTGCGGCGACAACGGCAGGCAGGTCGTTGCGCGGCGCGGCGCGAGGTTGAGCTTTAGTGTGCGATGTTAAAGTCTCTGAAATTATTCTTGCGGGGGGAGGGGGGGGCAACATTTTATGCAAATTTTATATACTTTTGCTGACGGTTCACGTGTCAGGTGGTCGAGCTCATTACACAAAAATCCAAAACTTAATTAGAACGCGAAAAAAAGCGTTCTGCCCTTCGCGGTGAAGCCAAAAAATTGGATTATCTAACCACACTCACTCGGCTTATTATTTAATTTCGTCCACCCGCGTCTACACAAACAGGAATGCGCGAGCGAGCAGAAAAATAAAAAACAAAAATTCTAACGCTAACGCGTTAACGGCCCCCCTAGGTTTTAATGGTTAAATCCAACAACCGTCAAAAGATGCACAGTTCCACACATTAGGATTTACAATATGAAGCTTTGCAGCATGCAGCTGCATGAGCTGTACACAGA